CCGGAGCGGTGCCCGGGGGGGAGCAAAACGGGGATAAACCCGTGCGGTGCGGAGTGAACCTCGCCTGTGCCTCCGCCAAGCCATTTATAGCCGCGGGCAGCCGGGACAGTGTCCCCCGGCCGCACTGCTCTCCCTCTGGGACCTTCCCAAAGGCTCAGAGCTAGAAGGTAACAGGGAATGTTTCTGCCTTGGCTCTAGAAGGATGGGAAAAGCTCATCCACAGAGCAGGTGCAGGCGAGACAGGGCTGGTGCACGCACAATGCTCCTGCCTTCCAGAGCAGGGCATCCCACAGCCTCTAACCCACACACAAGCCCCGGGAAAGCCACGGGGGCTGCAGGGAGTGCCCTGGCTCCTCTCCTGGGACTTCACACTTCACCAGCTGCAGCAGGAAAGGTGGATCCCGAAGTCATCCCGCTGGGATGGAGCAGGGAAGGATTGAGGGGGGCGCCTGGCCTGCAGCCACCACCGTCACAGCGTTGGTGCAGATCGGACCCCAAGGCTGTGAAGGCCTGGGTGCTGTGGAGGCAGGGCCGTGCCTGCTAAAATGCAGCTTTGCAGAGGAGGAGCGCGGGGGGGGTGACCTAACGCGCGCTCCACAGCACTTCCAGGGATGGTTGTTTCGCCCCCCAGTTGCAGCACAATTCCTGCCCCAAGCTGTGTTTCCTCCTCGGGCCCAGGCCCGCACCGCACGCTGCTCCAGAAGGAGCGGCCACCAGTCCTGTGTGTGTGTGTCTGTGTGTTACAGGTTTGCAGGAGGATGGAAATGGAAACAACAGATCTCAGCTGCCGAAGGGGAGAGAGCGCAACGGTACGTGGCCTCGGGGCGGGTCGCCCACAAGGAAAGAGGCGGCTGCTGGTGCTGAGCGTCCCCCTCGGCCATCCACGGGGAATGACAGCTCCCAGGGAAGGGAGTCGGGCCGGCACGCTCGCCGCTCGCTCTGCTAAGTGCAATGCGACGTCTGGCAGGGCACAGAGAGAAAGCCAGAAGCCGCTGCATTAGGATAAGCACATCAGTTAGGGCTAATAGGCCCAAGCAGCTGATTCCAACTACCCCGCAGTGGCGCTTGGCTTCCCCAGCACCAGCCACACAAGCCGGGCCACGACCCGCGCACTGCTGGGCAGGTCCCTGCTCTGTGGCCCTCTGAGAGCAGTGGCAGCCACAGAAAGCTCCCAAAGCGAGCGAGCGAGCACTGGCAGCAAAATGCAACTTACTCTTAACCACTCTGAAGGTGGCAGAGAGCAGATAACAAATTCTTAATCCTGCGAAGCAGAGAAATACCCAGCTCTGCAGCCTCCGGCACTCTCAGGAGGGGCTGAGGCTCCACTGCAGAGCCGGAGCTGGAGCATCCATTAGGAGCGTAGGACAGGACCAACTACCTCCTATGCAGGACTAATGGCGGCAGCGCGAGTATTTAGTGCCTGTCTGCATACAGGAGGCTTTTCCTGCAGCTTTGCCTTAGGCACTGCTTAAATCCCCTTGAGGATGGCTAAGCAATCCTGATGTCAAAAGCCCAGGCAGCGCTCTCGATCCTCTAGCACCACAGGGGTTAATAAATTCACCTTTAATCAGCCGCGTTAGCATCTTGATGAAGCCCCTGACGCCGCCGAGCAGCTGGTGCTGCTGCAATATTTACAAACTGTATTGCATAAGCGGGCCCTGCGCCGCGCTGCCAGCACCAGGCCGCTGCCCCATGCTGGGCCGCGACACCTCGGCACTCGCGGGCCTCATCCTCCCCACGGCCACGGCCGTATGTGGCCTTCGGGTTGAGCTACCAGGAGGAGGCTCCTTGCACCGGTCCCTTGCAGCTGGCAGCCGCTCCGGGCTCGTCTGTCACCCGCCCCGAGACACTGACGTGTTTTTTTCTCATCCAAGCAGGCCAGCAAGTCCCCCGGGAGGCCTGCAAGCCAACACAAGCCCTTACTTCTCACTCCAATGAAGGTGAGCAGCTTCTCAGGACTTCTGAGGGCCCAGTGGTCCTGGAGCACTCACTTTTCCACCGCCACCATGACCACAAGGACGCAGCAGAGGTGTCACCCGAACAGCAAGCGCTTCCACGCCTGGTCGTGGCGGCACCTTCACCTCTTGCAGCAGGAGCACCTCCCGTTCCAGCTCCTCCGCCGCTCGCGCTCTGTGGCTTCCCGCCAAGCAGAACTTGATTGGGAAGAGTAAAAAAGCGTTAGGAAAACATCAGCAACCATTTTGTGCCATTAGTTTTTGAAGCAGACAGATGTAGCGCTTAGAAAAATGCCTGCGGGCTTATTTCGTAGGATTTATCAAATGTCTTTTAAGCTTACTAGAAAAAAAAATGCATTCCTCACTGTTAAATCTGTGGGGTTTTTTGTTTTTTGTTTTTTTTTGGAAACGAGACATTTTAATTCATGAGCGAAAAAGAGAGAGTGGAAGTCAGCAAGAAACTCCACAAAAGCTTAAAAATTAAATTAATCTTGGAAAATGACAACGGGCATGCTTGAGAACAAAAGGGTTGAGAAAATCATCCCAGAGGCCTTCAAGGAACACCTTGCTTTGCCTCAAAACTAACTAGCCAGCTCTAATCCTAACACCATGATGGCTGCAAGCACCCAAAAACTGGAGCCAAGCTCCAGGATATAGAGGGGTTTTACGGTTTGTAGAATTTTTCTTTGATTCTGCTGATGATGCTGATGAAATGGTGTCATTTTGTACCTAATCATGAGAGACACAAAACTTCTTTTAAAGTAAAATCCTGAGCAATAGTTATTTTTTGGTGAAAGGGCAGATTCCTACCCAGTTAGCTGAGTCCAAGAACTGAGTTTTATGGAAAACCCCAAATGTCACGAGACTCTCAATGAACCTGCAAGCACAAACAAGTGCAGATCGATGGCAGTCCCAGGGTGCAGGAACATCTTGACCTCTGGTCTCCAAACCAATCTGATCCAAAACAAGGAGGCCACAAGCGTACCGGAGTCCTCCAGTGAAACCTGGAGATTTAAAAGAATATTTCTAAAATAAGTGACCAAAGATGCTGTCTCTTTTAAAAAGGTCCAGAAGTTCTTCCAAGGTACCACGTAACTTTTTCTCTCCCCTTCTAACTCTCTCCCATTTTCAGAATGAAACTTTAAATGAGAGACCTCCTCGAGGTTCCTAACGAGGTTCTCTGCCTCTGGGCCGTGAACGGTGCAGCTTCCTCGGGGCCCAAATGCTTCTGCCCTCGGATGAGGCCTTGTCTGCTAGATGCAGTAGCCCATCCAGATACTCCAGCATCCCAAGTTAAACCCCCTTGCGTCTTCTCCAAGTCTCCTTAATCTCTTCTTCCTTATCGAGCTTCTCGTTGCTCCTTGCAGGAACACAGGTGACAGTGGAGATCCACCCCAGAGACACCACCCCGCAGCTCATCAAGAAACTCTCCGTTGGAAAAGGTAGAGCCCAGCACTGCATGTGGTTGTAGCCAAGTGATGGCCGAGTGTGTTGTGGGCTCTCGGAACGACCCCATGACAAAGATGGTGCCTGTGGACAGGTCCATAGACACAACGTCCTTCCAAGGACAGGCCAAGCCCTCTTCCCCTTGCAGAAGGGGCAAGGCCGAGCGGCCTCCAGGAGCTTGAGGGGCTGCTCAGGAGGCCCCTTCCCCACTGCATGGGTTGCCACAACCTTGCAGTCGTCTAACCCAGCTCTGTTGCAGGTCTCCGGAAGGCCAGCCTGAGAGGCCAGGACAACAGAGGTGAGGTTGCTTCGCCACGGTGCGTCCCTCCTCCTCCTCCTCCTCCTGCTCCCCTGGGGCCTGGCATCTTGAAGCTCTTGGGAAGCTGCCAGCAGCCCCGGTCAGAGGCTGCCCAGAGATGGCCACGTGCCCGCTCTGCCCGTCAGGCAGATGCAGCTGCACCCAGCCAAAGCAGGACCTCGAGGAGCAGCTGGTGGTGACAGCAACCCCCTTCTGAGTCTGGGGCGGGAGGATCTTCTCCAATGGCGCTGGGATCACACGGGTGGTGACAGGCCGGAGGCTGCAGCGTCCCTCAGAAATCCCTCCAGCTGCTGCGGGGCTCTCTGTACAGTTATCGTCTGACCGGAGCTCTGCTCTCTCCGCGCTCTGCTCAGTTCTTCCATGCCATGAGCACTTTGGCCCAGTGCTAAACAGGGGTCTGGTGTCCCTAGCCTGGGGCTAGAACAGGAGAGGTCTGACTGCTTGGGAATGTGGCATCCGCAGGGACCGCGGGACAGCGGGGAGGGGATCCAGGAGCCTTTCTACCCTCTGTGCCCGCTCTCCCCAGCACGACCAATTTGCAGGTCCAAGCACAAGCAAGCGAGCACAGGAAAACCTGAATCCCAACTTCTTCCACCCAACCAAAATCAGTTATTTTTACCTGTCTCCCCTTTGCCAGGTTTCCAAAAGACCGAAGCCCCACGCCCGCCGAGTGGGAAAGACCTGCACGGTAACTATTGCAATGCCACCGGCACGGGTGGGACAACGTGGGGCAGCCCCAGCAGGGAAGCTGTCAGCCCTGCAAGCAGACCTTGCTCTGCTCCAGCCCCAGACCAAAGCGCATCGCAGAGCGATTTAATTTCCATCATCGCAAGCGTGTTCCGCTTCCCGATCCTGTTTGCCTGGGGGGCAAGAGAGGATGGTTTGGGGAACATCACGCCCACTCTAGATGTTCCCCAGGCTCTCCCCATCTGAGGAAGGCTAATCTGCAAGTGGGCATGACGCATGTTTTCTGAGCACCACGGCAATAGCGTAAGAGTGCCCGAGTTATGGCGAACCCACATCTGCAGGGAGCCTTAGCGGCTCTAACCTGACAAAGACTAAAACTGACAACCAATTTTAAAAATCCATCTAGTTCCCAAAAGGCAAAAAGTAATTTTTGGAGCAGGATAGAGTAGGAACCTTTAAACGTGTAAATCTGCTTTATCTCTCCTTAGGTCAGCACAATATCCCTTTTCTGCGAAAACCGAGCTAAACAAGCGAGCATGTTACGGAGCCGGATGCCGCGCGCTCGCCCCGCGTTTTGGCAGGCGGGCACCTGCCCGGCGCGGGGCAGGACGGGACAGCAGGTGCTGGTCACCTGCGTCCTAAAGGGCAGGCTTCAGCAGCGCCAGGACACGGCCGCACGGAGCCGAGGGCGCTCGCGCCAGCCAGGCTTGCAGCTCCCCTAATCCCTCCCTGGGGCAGGGGTTTCCGAGAAGAGCGAGGCTCGGATTAGCAGCGCGCGCAGGGGCTGCCAAGGCGCAGGGGGAAGGCGCTAGGACGGGGACGTGTCCCCTTCTCCCCGGCACCCATCGCTAAGCAAGCAGCGGCTCTACGAGCACCATCCAGCCACCCTTGTAGCTCTCCGGAGTCACACAGCACCACTTTGGTTTGATGAGCTCTTTTAAATCCTTGTTTCCTGAGAAATAACCGCTCTACAGCTACCTTGAAAAACGTCTTTGGTGCTAAGTGGCTTTGGCAGCGCATAGCAGGGGAGAGAGCTGTAGAGCTCAATTCTTGCTAGCTCGGAAGAAACGGGAGCGCTGTGCAGCGTGCAGGCCAGGGGACACATCCAGCTGATCCATCTGTGCACCAAGCTGCAGCCAGGAGGCACCTACACGATATAGTCCGGGATTTTTAGTCTGGGTCATACGAGCTAGGCAGGATGAGCCCTGCTTTGCATGCAGCTGGCAAGGAAATTTTATGGGTGCTCCTGTGTCCCCTGCTTCTTGGCCCCCCCGGGCGGAGGGACAACAGTGCTGGAGGTCAGACAGGAGGCAGGACGCTGTGATGTGTCCCCTCGTTGCAGTGCTCAGCCAGGAAAAACTCCCCTCGAGACAATAAATAACTTGTTTCTTCGCAGCATATCCGTGGGACAAATCCTCTCTGAAATCCATGCCCGTAGACCTGCAGCAATTTGAGAAGCTGGATGCCTATGCGCTAAAAGTAAGTGGTGCTTTTGCCTCCGTCCTGCTCATAGTGCTCGCTCCACTGGGGCCGTTCCTCGAGACCTTGCTACAAGCACTAACGTCAGCTCCATCTGAGCTACTGGCCAAGTGCCTCAAAGTCCATGGCAGAAAAAAAAAAAAAAAACCACCACAAACATTTCTGTGCGTACATCAGCAAAAGAGGTCCCACATCGGGAGGAAAACTAAGACCCAAAATATTTCTTGCCTGAAGTGTGGAATTACAGCTTTGTATTTCTATTATTAGTGAAGCTCAAGTGCTGGCCGGGGTCCTCCTCGTGGTAGCGGGAGGAGGGCAGATCCGCTGCACTGTTTCCTTATGGCAATCTTGCCACTCTTCCTCCGTGCAAACAGGTAAACGTCAAGAACAGCGTGGAGGACCTTGTTACGGCCCTGCTTAAACAAGCCCGGACAGACCTGGAGAAAGTGCGAGCCATTTGGATGTGGATATGCCACCACATAGGTAGGCTGGGATCTTGGGCTGGCAGATCCTCGCTGTAGATAATGCTATTGCTGTTGCTGTCGCTGCTGTTTACTCCATGTCGTGTGCGTAGGTTCACACGAGGACACGCAGTGGGTGGAAGGAGGCTTGTACACACGTACATCCAGAAATACATTCAGGGGTTACTTACCATCACCATTTCCATACTCCTGCTTCTAGCGCTTCCAGGTCCCACCAGGTTTGTCCGGGCAGGATTCCCTTCCGTGCCACAAGCCTGTGACTCCTGCTCGAGTTAGTCAGTAGTGCTACCATATAATTTACTATCATCTAAGCAGCCGGAGCATAAGGCCTGGTGGCCAAGCCCCAGGCTTGGCTGACACATCTGGAGCTCCAGGAGTTTCATTGCCACCACTGTCCTGAACCAACACGTGCCCCACGCGGCATTGCCGGAGCAGCCTGCATGCTGCTGCCTCGCTCCAGGAGGGATTTTCCTGCCTTCTCGGGCTAGGCCTCCCTGGGGTGATTGGCAGTGATGACATTTTTGCTTCACAAATGCCAAAGTGTGTTTTCCCCCATTAATTCCAGAGGAAGAGCACAGCTCTTCTCGCCCCTCGCGCAGTCCCTCCATCCCTGCCCTTGCTCCACACACCGTGCCCGGCCACCTGCCTCTTGGCCCATCACCGTGGCCATCACCATCCACACGCATTTGGGCAAGGATGGACATGGCAGGTGTTTTCCTAGCCCCAGGGCACAGCAGAAGCCGGGCACGGCTCAACACGAGCCAATTTACAACACATGTAACCATAAGGCATGCTCGAATCGCTTAAATTGCAATAAATACCCCAAGATGTGGCCAATGCTGGGTCTGCTGAGCTGAGAGCAGCTTTGGTGCAGTGCAGATCACTGACTGCACGGGTCAGACATCAGAAAGCAGAAGAGTGATTTTCGGAAGCACTGCCCTAATCTCACTCCCACTGAGATCAGGAGGAGTTTTGCCAGCAACGGCACCATTAGCGCCGTGAGGTCAGGCCCAGGCAGCCTCAGTCCTGCCCTTAAATTTGCACTCTGCTGATTTTACTGCATTTCACAAAACCGAGAATTTGACTCATCCCCGCACCACACACTGTTTGGCTGCTGATCATTCAGACTGTCTTCATCTTAACTCCTTTCTGGCCATGGCTATCCAGGCCAACAAAATTCATACATATATATATGTGTGTGTGTGTGTGTGCATATATTACATATAT